TCATAGGAAACTGTCCATCCTAAGTTGAAGTGAAATGGACGAATCTGGTGTTTAACTTTTTATGCTACATTAAGGTCCAGTAGATATTGTGATCTCAAACTAGAGATGTACACGGTTGAGAAAAAAAGATATCAATTCTATCATGACGTGTTTTCAGATAAAAATCCCATATGGTTTTCAATCATGGAATTGTTTTTTGTAATCCTTGTATTAGGGTTAAATTTATTTTTATTATGTTAAAAGCTTTGTTTTTATTCATAGAAAACCTGAAAGCAGAATGTCTAGACTTTGAATTATATTAAATCCACTGCAATTTATCCAAGGATTATTTATTTGGGGTTATTTGTACAGAAGTGCCATTAATGTGTTGAGCAGTTTGTCATGTCCCTGCTGTTCAAGAACAGTCAGCTGTAACTCGAGGGTAAACATAGCATTTATTACGTCTGTCTTAGTTGAATGTTTTGCTATTTTAATGATAGAAATTGTTCTTAGTTATTGCTGCATTCACAACATTACTTCTGGGCATGTTGACTGGACAAGCTGTCAAATTAAGATGTATTTAATATGCCTACTGGATTTTGATACTGTACTAAAGTAGAAAGCCTGGTGAAATGTTTTAGTGAAAAGCGCAGATCGTAGTCTGAGTTGTGGTTTAATGGTGGAGTTGCAAATAATAACACAGAAGGTCAGGCCTTTTTTCAGATATTTTCCAAATGTGAAGTGTTAGGATTAAGGCTTGGTAGTGTATTTGGAAGTGAAAAGATTTTTTTCCCTCACATTATCCATATTTTTTTATATAAATCAAATAAAAAAACCCCCAAACCAACCACCCTCACTTTGTGAAATAATACCTTTGAAAACTTACTCTACTATTGACTGCAGTGAACAGGCATTATAGTAAAAAAATGGTGCACTTATTTACTTCAGTGTAATACCCCTGGTAAGGATTTATCATTGCCTCCAAACATAAAGATATTTCTATATTTTACATATATATAAAATTAGATTTATATAAAAATGCAGAGTGCAAATGGTGTAATTGTTAATCAGCATCAACAACTTTACCTAAGGTGCACCCCCTCTTAGTATAACGTTATCACACATTGACACCATATCTCATAAGCATGCTTCTAGCAGTAAATCCAGGAAGAAATTTAGTTTGTCATAGGCGAAATAGCTTGCTTTCATTTTGATGCTTAGTAACTCCTTTTTGTGAGGATGAGAAATAGATGGAGATACATTATTTGTATGTACGTATGAAACACCATTTCATTTGCTCGTCTTAGTCATTCTTGCTTTTAATCTCCTCGTAACAGATCCGTTCCTTTTCTGATCAGAGAAGTTTTACATCTGGAAATCTCCAAGTATTTATTGTGCGTTAGTTGATCTAAAGCTTGTTTAATATTCCAATGCTTGTAATTGATTTTTGGTGGCCTTTGCTTGGTTGCAGACAAATGTGAAAGCACTGATTGATAATGTCACCTTCCCAGGAGCTTTTATCACATCGCACTTGCTCTCCAGTTTTTCTTAGTGACAATTCTAAACTTTGCCGAAGCACAAAACCCTCTCATTTGTGGACACTTGCAATAGTTCTGTATGAAACATTGCACTTCAGCAAACCTTCATGTGTGGGAGGAATATATTTAGCATTCATTATTTCAAATCTGTTTTTTCTCTGTTGTCATCTTATGCCATTTGCATCTCACAGTATTAGAGAAAGGATTCACTGCTCCTATTTATCTTACAGGACTTAAAGCGGGATAGACGGTGTAAGACTTCCCTTGGGGAACAGCTGCTTTCCCAGTCCTCTCACTGATGAATCTGTTACTGGGATCATTTTTACGAGCAACTGACTGGGTAACATGAACAATGTTTGCCTAGTCTAGTTCTGAAGCAAGGAGGGAAGTTAATTTTTACCAGAGCTAGAGAAGTTAATAAGTAGGATTGTAATAATGTTGCCAAAATCTGCTGTCTGTAAGTTCAGACATCTAATCTGAATTAGTTGCCTAGGCTCCTGATACAGTAAATAGAGAAAAAGATGCATTGACCCAGGGCGGTTCATCAGTTCTCAGACAGGCAACAAGGTTAGGCCACTTCCAGAGAGCAATTCACCCTAACTTTTTTATCCTTAATTTCACTGGGATTCAGAACAGTGATTCAGTTAAAATTAGACATTATATTTTCACATGGCTGATGTCAAATGAGGGGAATCTTACTCTTGTTCATAGATCAAATAATTTTAAAATACAAGTTGTTTTTTATTAAAAACAATTATAAATATCCATATATTTCTTACACAGTGGCACAAACTCGTCTTTAGACTGGTTACAGAGAGACTAAGAAATTTACTGTAAGAAACTTGGCTGTTGCAAGCACAGATTTGCTTTAAGTGGCCCATAGTTAATTTTGTAAAATCCTAAAACTCTTTGAGGTAGAAGATGAGTGACACATTTAAAAGATGTGTATGCACAGGGAGACGGTTGCTTATGTAAGCGCAAGGGCACTTGTATATATTTTGGGTATACAGGCCACAAAGATTAGGTGAAAGAAAATAACGTAAAAAATAAGAGCAGCAGTAAAATTACTTGGAGTTATCTTTTAAGCTGTTTTACTGACAATTATTAATGACACAAGTGCGTGAAGTTGTTTATATAATTTAGAAAAATAGGATGTTACCAAGCATCAATGTCAAGTCAGAGCTCGCAGTCCGTGTTGCATAGTAAACTTGATTTTTGGAACAGTGAGATTTTTGAAAATCTACAGTACATAACAGCTGCTTGAAGCCAGTCTTTTTCAGGTGTAACATATTGATATGAAGTCATACTGTTGCCCTCTACTGGCATCTGCTGAAAGCTCTTAAGGCCTTACTCATCAAGTGCCGTGGTCTCCATGGTTAATTTCTGAAGGACACTGTTAATCCATTTCAGACAAACTCAAAACCATCCTTTGAAAGCAAAACTCTTTCTCTTTAAAGAGACTCAGGGATGGGGGGAGAGAGGGAGGAGGACTACAACTCCTACCTGTCAATGCTCATCTGCTTACAAACTGCTGAAAGCTTTAACTTCTAAATTCAGAAGCCATAAAACATAAAAATGTCAGCTGAATTAATTAAATATTTGAGTACTGACAACTGTTGGAGTGTTTGAATTTCGGAGGCATGGATTAAAGACATCGAGGGTCATGAGAGAGAGTATCATATTTCAAACTGTTCAATGAAAACACAGCTATAACACAGTGATTGTTGTCATCATCCTAAAAAAAAAAAAGCCAAATTTACACAATTGTGCTTTCTGAGAGATGGCAGAATAAAAGAGAGAAAAATTCTTGTATTTCACAAGTACTTTGCTACACAGTTTTTTGCTGCTGTCATTAACAGTTATCTAAACAGAAATAAAAGAAAAGAACAGAATAGTCTTACCTACTAAATAGGTGGGGTTTTTTAATCCCCTCACTTAAATAATCATCTAACGTCAGCTGCCCTCAAATCTTTACACAACCTATGACTATATGGAGATTTTATGTACCACAGTGACTATCAGTTGATCAGCCTGTACTGTATTCACAATCTGTCCTTCTGAAGAGCTGTTTCTGTAAGCTGTCTCCATTACATACTTTTTGTGATCCTTTCACATCTTGTTCCCGAGAAAGAAAACATCCAGTGTCTTCCCTCTGAGCAATCATGGAGGAACACATGCAGAGAAAAGATGAGAAGAGGGATGAGGCTTCCTTTCTCCAAGTCAAGATGAATATCCCTGTTATTAGGGACTGTGGAGCTTTGAATACTTATCTCTGTTACTTGCCACTCTTTTACACTCTGATCTTTGGCATATCGGTGAAATAGGTCTGATTTTTCTTTTTTTTTTAACTGTAAAATGTAGTTAATCTTTCTTACCTATTTTCCAGGATTGAGTATGAGTGTTAATGAGTGTTTGACATTTGGACTATGTTAAATCTCTCTATACATGTGAAGATTCTTTCACGAGCGGAAAGCTGTGCATTGACTTAGAATAGGCTTTGCTTAACTTGTATTTTCAAATAAAAGTTTGTTACACCTTCAGCATTATGATTGTGTAGAAACAATTCCATTTTGTGAATAGAAAAATAGTTATCATATCTTAATTTGTTGAACTGTGGTTTTGTACTAGAAACAACCTGGTATTTGCTCTTAAAGCATTGTGTACAGAGAGAGGAGGCAATCAACTCAGATTCCAGTGCATTGCCTAAAGAGTTAAAAATTAAAATGCCCTTGGGAAATTACAAAGCTTTATCACTTCTTCCAAATAATGGAGCTAGCTTAGAAACTCTTCACTCTGATTCTGAATAGCTCAGTATCCACATTACACTAATGTGAGTTTGGGAAGATCGATGCTAAATGATACTAGTTTAATGGAGCATTAAACTAAATACCTTTAAGATATGGGATGCTGCAGGGGCCGTGCTAAGATCCTTCTGCTTCCATTTCAATCATAAATTGCGACACAAAAATTGCAGAAACTTTTGATTAACTAGCTTCTAACGGTTAGTTCAGATACAGCATTAAAAAAGAGTAGATTTTATATTTCATTGGGATTCTGACACCCAGAGGGCTCTAAAAACGACCAGATGTGAAATAGAAGAAATATTTGGGAGCGGTTAATGCCTAAACATAAAAGTGACCATGTGTAAGTCACTGTAGAATGTGGTTTGGGCAAGGGCAGTAGGTGTCTTCTCCCCCCACCCACCCCCTGGCTTCTTTTTTTTTTTTTCCCCCCAAGGCTCTCTGTGTGATACACTGCTGGAACAAAACCAAGCAGCAGAGAGTAGTATTTTGATCTAGCCCTGCATCCTGCTCAGGTGGACCTTTATTTGTAATTTTCCTAATGCTTAGATATCTCCTTTTTTTGAACTGAGTGTAAAGAAGAGTCCAGAAAAAAAAGTATTTGTTTGACAAATAACCATGCTGCAAGGCCTTCATATGCTGAGGCCATATTTATGGATTCTAATGCTTTTCTTGTTTTCAGGTGAGCGTCCTTACCAGTGTCCTTACTGTGACAAAGCTTTCAGCAAGAATGATGGATTGAAGATGCATATTCGCACCCACACTAGGGTAAGTCCCACACAAGGGTAAGTGTAGCTTAGTTTTTATGGTTACTTCAGGATTGTCTTAAGAATTGTGTGTGGCGAAAAGTAAATAATTACTGTTTGTGTAGAGATTAGGCTATACCAACCAAGGTATTTTATACTTGTCAAAGTAAGAGGCAAAGATTTGTCATTAACTGTTAAATTCTAATTATGACTCCCTTACTGACCTTCTATTTTTTCTGTGTTCAATTTCTTATATGTTGAAATAATAGCAGTACTGACGTCTTCCTTTAACCTGTGGTTATTTATAGATATAAATTAATGTTTGTGATTGTTTACTGAGTAAACAATTCTGTAAAGGCTTCACTGTTCTTGAAACTTCAATATCTAGTGCTTTGATTCTTACTGTCTCCTTAAAATCCGATCACTGAGTTTTTGTAGAGTCTGTACTTTACTAACTGATGACAAATATTAATCTGCAAAAAGACTTTATTTATCTGAAAGCAAAATAAAAGGCAAGTTGCAGATGTCTCCAAGATTATTTTTGAACCTTGAGTCTCAGCACAAAGGTTCCCTGTTTTAGGGAGAAGTCCTGTCATGTATGTATATTTATTAGAGGACAAAGGTGAGATCTTGGCCCCACTCAGCCAGCAAAGAGATGGAGAGCTGTCTTCAAACAGCCAGATGTGCATTCCCTTAGTAAAGGGAGATCTCCAGGTGAAGTTAAACTGGTCTAGCATTCCATATACTACCTGCCTCTGGCCTCCCCATCCACCATCAGAAAGCAAACAAAAAGTTAGAAGTAAACTGTAGCTTTTCTAGTAATCCCTTGGGATCTGTTACTGCTTACAGATGTCAAGGCAGCCTTGAGGCCAAACCAAGAAAGTTCTATTAGGAAATAGGGAGGGTGATAGTTAAGTTAGTAGTCTCCGTATGCAAATCTGCGCACAGGCTAACTTTCTAAATGAGTAAAGATAAGATCAAAACTATTTTTTTAATTTTCTGCCATTCTACCTAGGTCTTGAGGGTATTAACTGGAGGTCCTAGATAAAGTTTTAGCTCGTGTGCCCCAAACTTTAGTTTAGAAATTACTAGTAGTTTGTGCAATGCTTCCTGGTGGTTCACTGGGAGCAGGCTAGTCCCATGTTGTTAGTTGTTTCTACTTCTTTACAGCTGTTAAATCACTTCAAGAAGTGCTATAAAATGTTTTCTGTTGTTACTGTCCCATATTACTGCTTTTGCACCAGGAGAAATTTCATTACCATATATGTTCTACATAGCTGTGAGTGGGAAGAATGGTAAACAAGACCAGCTCTGAAATAGCGCCAATTCTAATTTTTTCTTGATTTGTCATACAGTTTGAGTAAAAACAACAAACCCCTCAGCCTCTGTAGAAAAAAAAATAGAGAAAAAAAGAATAAGAATAGGCCTTTAGAGCCTGTAATGATCTATCTGTTGACTATAGTGATTTATACCAAGTGATAATTTCTTCCAAAATGCATGCTCATGAGTGAGGTAAGAGAACTTTACAAACGTTATCTGCATTGCTCAAAAGCTGTAAATTAACTAATAGCAGTTATTTACAGCAGGACTGCATATCCTACAGTCTTAGAAAATGCAGTACTTCAGTGGAGGAAAGCTGTGCATTTTTTCTTGATAACTGTGTATTTTTTTGATAGTTGTATTCATCAGTCCTGATTACCCACACAGTGCAGATAATAAAGCACTCGGATATGTTATGTTAACAATTAAAAAAAAAAAGTCATTTTGAACTAGAGATTTTTAACTGCACTGAATGGAAAACTTACAGTTGCTCTTTAGCTGAGTGTACTTTTCTTGGGGTGTTTCTTGCTCTTAGCTATGCTCTGAAACATAATTATGCACCTGAGTAGAGAATTTGCTATTTTATTGTTGTTTGGCTGCTTGCTACTACCTCTTCTATGTAACTTGTTGCTTACATATATTGGCATATGTCATCATATTTTGCCTCTCTTCTCTGTAAGTGCCCCCCCCCCAAAAAAAAAAAAAAAAAAACCACACCAAAAACCAAACAAAAACCAACAATGTTGACATTTGCAGGCTGGCTCCAAAATGCTTTTATAAAATTGCACTGAAAGACAAACTGAGGACTTCACATTAATGTTGAAACAGGAGGAAAAAGAAAATAATTTGAACACTGCTTATGAATGACAGAAGAACAATTCAACCAATGTTTGTTATTTAGCTAATAGGCAAGGGAGGAGTTAGGAAAATAGATTTTGCAGAGTGGAGATTTCTTTTTAATATATGTGGACGTCATAATTAGACTTTGTATTGCACTAAGAACATAATAAAATTTGATTTAAAATGTCTCAGAAAATGTATCATGTAGTGAAAATATCATTTTTACAGAAAGAAGGAACTCAGTTCACACCAAATGTGATACGAGTGTTTCCATATACTTGAGATGTCATGATCATCTAGATCTGAACAGGTCTTTTTTCAGGGTTTTTTTTTTGTGTGTGAGTGTGCTGAGCAGACTACTGGGAATCTTTACAGTTATACTAGAGGACTAAAATATGCAGGCACAACATGGCTTTTTTAGACGTTGGTTTGGGGTTTTGATTCTTTTTGTTGTCATGCTGTTTATATGCTACTCTTATTACGAAGCTTCACAGTGAAGCTCACTCATATATGAATGGCATTACATATTCATTTATACCCAAATAAATATCTTTTACTTTGAGGTAATGAGAAACAATATTGATAACGTTAACATTGCTAGCTCATTTTGAAACCTGAAGTCTGTTACTATAACCTTGCTTCTCCCAAGTTTCCCTCTTCCTCACACTCCAACATCTTATTCAATACCTAAATAGGACTGGATAGCTAAAAGTTTTAGTCTTAGGAGGAAAAAAATGTTGACAAGTAGTATTAATAAAAACAATAGAATAGAAAGCAAAGCTTATTATGAACTTTCATGGATTTTAAAGTCAGAAGGAGTGGTTATGCTGAGTCTGTTCTTCTGCAAAACATTATCCATGCAGTTTAAGCTGTAGTTTAATTGTTCAGAGAAGTAAATATTAGTACAGGTATAGGGGAATAAATATGTATTTTAGGTGGTGTGATTCAGACGTAAGTGAAAGAGAAGAGAGTGGTGAAGGGACTTTGGGTATTTGGAAGGAATAAGAAGGAAGAGGGAGAGAGAAAATACTGAGAGGTAAATTGAGAAGAGGCCATTATTTACAAGAGCACTTGTGTGCTTGGCAAGAATATGAAGATTTATTTAATGTTTGTAGTAGGTTAGTACCTGTCAGGAATGTAGTGGTTGATCCTTGTGTGTTTGGTGTTGTTTATGCATGACTTTTAAGTCAGCAGTGTGTTGAGAGAAAAAAAAAATCTAGAAAAATATTATCCAGGAAACAAACCAACCAACCCCTTTTAGTAGAGAAAACAGCTGTTTAGTACGTAGGTTAGATAATAGTTTTGTAATATCAAGATCACCTGCCTTGAGGTTTCTCTGAACACAGGGATGCTAGCAAAGCTGAAATCTGTGCGCTGTCTGAGAGGCAGAACTCTTGACAGTTTCTGCCGTGTACTTTAAGACCAGGCAGGTCTGTCGTTGCTGCCTGAGGTGTTCTCTCTTTTCCTCTTTCCTACCATTTCATTCTCAAGTAGGTTCATGCTACTTGCTGGAGAAAAAGGTGGGATTTCTCCAGTACTCTTGCTCATTTAGTCAGATTCTCTCTTTACTCTGTTTTGTAGAGTTGATTAAGAGTTATGGCTATTAAGATGGTTTATTTTACGAGGTTGATAGCCTAACATGTTTGTTTGTAGTACTGATAGTTAAATTTCTAGCTTTGAGCATTTCAGATCTTTAACCAAGAGCAATATAAGCTGAACTGAAAATTCTGAGCTATTCATGTGTAAGTCGTCTTTGAAGTGAATGCATGCAGTCACATTGTACAGCACCTCTCTGGTGCTCAGGGTAGTCGTGGTCAATTCTTCATTCTGGAAATCAGAGACTGTGTATGCTAACAAGTAGTGCAATGCAGGAGTAGGTATGTAAAGTGAAACAGTTGGTGCTGAGGACCTGATGTTTATCTTGTATGTGTTTCAAGGATTTTACTGCAGATTATGTGTAGTCTGGTCCTATGGACTGAATGCACAATAGCACTCTCTGGAATGCATTAAACCTTCTGGTTTAATTTCTTCCAAAAGGAATCCAGGTCATGCAGTCCAAAACATTTTGGAAGTGTGCACCAAAGTACAGTAACAGGGGACATTTGGGAAGTGTGCTTCAAAAGCACACACCTGATCTGAATATAAACACTAAAGGAGGTGTATTCTAACTGTACTATGTAAGAACTTTTCCAGTGAAGAAAGATTATACCTGTGTAGAAATAGCTTGAAACTCCTCAGCACGATACTAATTCACTATAACTTGTTCTGTGATCCTAGGCCATTTAAACAAAGACAAAACTAAAGATTAGGAAAGAAAAAATGTAGTGTGTTTGCCAACGTTTATTTTTGTCAGTTCTAAGAACAAGAAGAGCGGGGAAGTCACACTTGAAATTTCTCTCTTCAGGCATCTGATGTGTTGACTTTTCAAAAGATTGTAAGGATGTTGGCTATTCCTTTTCTTACCCTTTCCTACACATGATTTTATTTTTAAATTTATTCTTGCATGCAAATTAGTCAAAGAATAAATAACAGGATGTATAAATCCAGGAGGTATTTTTGTATCAGCTAAGCCTAGCAACGTGGAAATAAACATAATCATAGCACCCTTCCTCAAGGACTGTTCTTGTAAATATCTCAGAAAGAAGAGAGTCTGGTCTTTTGGCCAGAAAAATTGTGAAGTAGCTTAAAAGTAATAATATGACATTCAACAAGGAAAATGTCATTGTAGAGATTAAATCTGGATATATTTTACCAGTGGGATTAAATGCCAAACCTGATCCTGTGGATCAGGGAGGGCTGCTGGAAAAATCGTTGTAGAAAGTTGATTAAGGTCTGGCAGCTGCTAAACTGAGCACAGCCTGG